GAATTCTCTATGAGAATGAAGATGCAAAGAAATTCTTGCTCTTTACAACAAGTTCGGGTCAAGTCCAAATTTTGAAGTTGCATGGCTCCTATCTTGGTGTGAATAGAAAACCATACAAAGGATATTTGAGGTTGCTTCAACTCAAGCTTGTGGTTATATTATTGTTTACTGAGTACATTTAAAAAAACCTCACCAGATAAAATTAAGTGTACAAAATCAGCCCTCCAGTGATGTTATTCCCAATTCTGTCAGATAACTTGATATGGGATAAAAGGTAAATTGGATATTTCAGCATAATACAGTAAGATGCTTCAATTTCTTTTGAGAACGTGCCATCCGAGCAGATCCATTTTTAGGGGAATACTAAATAAAAAGCAAGATGGCAGCTTTCTAGGTTAGGAACTGCTAGACATTCATTATTTTAAACAGCTTGGAGCACTGCAATATTTAGTCAGTGTGTGTGTGCATGTGTGCTTTTTCAGAAAATTTTACAACACGGGTTTGTAACGTTCCAAGGCTATGCTTTTACAATAAAAAATAATGTCTCATTTATAAAGTGCAGAAACCCAGGGATTTTATTCTCCTGGATGTAACTTCAGCTCCTTTTTTTTAAAGTACAAGGATACTTTAAGAACTGCATTTAGTCAGCTGTTGACTAATGGCTCATAGCTCTTCATGAACCAGATAATGACTTTGCATAGAATATCAAACTCAATAGAAACAATCACAGTAATAGAAGAAGAAGTCTTTGTTGTAGAGTTATTACATGAAAGGAAACACTGGCAAAACAGAAAGCTTTCTAAGGAAAACATCACCAGGTTTTGATGAATACTACCTCTTTTGAAGTGCCTGCTACTTTTTCTCTTCTCTGTAATTGTTTTTGAAAGGTTAAGAAATTTCTGATGATTTTTGATAGCTGAAACATAAAGCACTTAATGGGAACTAGAAAGCCATTTAAAGGTTTGTAATAAATTCATATATTGCCACTATATTTCTCTTAGATTGTAATGTCTCTTTTGTACTCCAGATGCCATCTCAAAAAATAAACTTCGTACAGAGCATATGGATCAAATTTTAGCCAGAAGGGGAAAAAATTGTTGACTTGGCACTCGGTATTTGTGACCCACGGAGTACTTTTACAGCCAGCCAAGTCATCAGTTTCCTTTTCTGCTCGGCAGTGGCAGCTCTGACTCCTGAAGAACACCTTTGCATGTGAAGGCTGGGTAACTTAACTCTGGCAATGATGAATGGGTACTGCAACTGACTGAAACTTAAAAAATTCAGTGCTCAGCATTGGAACTGTAGCAAACTTGAAAAACTGAAAAATGGATGGCTGGACTGAAATGATGTAGAATACTATGGAATTATTTAATGGGTCCCTACTCTAGCAAAGTCCTTGAACTGAGTAAGTCAAACTAGAAATGATCTATCAAAAATGCACACTGTTCTCTTGGAGAAAAGATTGAAGGGTGAGAAACCCACCAACATAACAATGGTAGGAAGCAGGGAGCTCAGATATCACAGACACAGTATAAGAACTGATAAGAACTGGTCATGAGCATCTTAAAATTAGCCCTGTTCTTTTGACTCTTTCTCCTTGTTTTTTAGGAAATCTTGTTTTGTGAGGGGAATATATTTTTTAATTGGGATACTTTTAATTTTTTGGTGCCTGTGTGCAAATCCTTTCAGTTGTTTCTGTTCTTGCAGTTCACTGCTGAGTGTTATGTAGATATGCATGCTGTATACTGCTCTTGAAAGAAAAATATCCATGAAATGAAACCAGGACCGTAGCAAAGTGCAATACAGAGGCTATATTTTATTACTTAGGTTGTAAAGTATTTTAGTGTTCACTTGCTCATACAAAAATGTTGCTGAAAGTGATAAAAAATTCAGGCATGCCTAAACCAGTAATTTTAATCCAAGAGACTTTTTCCTTTGGTATTAAGATGAAAGTTAATTTTAAACTGTATTAATACCAGTTTAAAAAACTTAGAATATTGTAATGAAATTTTGAAAATGTTTTTCTCCTAACAACTAAGAGGACAGCAGGGACATATCCAGCTTTCTGTGCTTATTTGCAAATCACATGTATTTATTGATTGCTAATTTGGTGTGGCTTGTTGCAAACCTAGCAACAGTTTTTGTGCTTTCTTGGAAAAAAAGAGAAAAGAATGCTATCAGTAAAGCTCCTTTTCCTATTATACCATGTCACTCAGCCTATGCTGTCTGCAGGAGACACCTGAACTCCCATATTTTAGCACTCAGAAAGCTTTACTGTCAGAAAACTGCTGAAGACCTTCAACTAGGTAACAGTAACATGAAGCTCTTTGTAAGGAACTGTCTGCATTTGTGTCTCCCTAAAGTACCTAATCCATATCAAAGGATAACCTGTCACTTAAGTCTCATGGGAGCTGTGGGGGTTACAAGATGTGTCTGTTTAGAAAGCTAATTCAACATTTGGCCTTGGAAGCTTTCCCAGCCACAGCAGGACTGCTACTGTGTCTCCCAAGCCAACTGGAAAATCTAGATTATATGTCTGGGTGAGAATTAAGAGAAGGAAAAATGGTCTAGGGAGAAAGGAAGCGAGAATGACAACAGACACCAAAAAAATCCAGCATCCTTGCTAGATATTCAAAAGTCATCTGGACATAGGGCTGGGCAACAAGCTGTAAGTGAATCTGCTGTAGCAGGGGGCTTGGACCAGTCCCTTCCAACCTCAACAATTCTGTCATTCAGTGGGAGGAAAGAAAAACCAAAACACAGAAATCCTCTAAACTCTGAGGTTTTAACAGTGAGATCTTGGCACCTATCTAATTGTACAATATGCAACCTAGACAGGTATGCTATCTTTAAAGCCTCCTTTAATGAATTCTCTTTTCTATTCATATTGCTGACAGTCTTGTTTCTTTTCTTCAGTCCTCTTCCTGGTCAACACAGAGCAGTGACAGTTTGCAGGTCCTGATATGGCCACGTCCCTGCAGGTCTGGATGTGCTGCTACTTTGAGAAGTCAGGCTGTGTAGGGCTATAGAAACATATGCTCTCATTTTTGCATCATTGGGGGAGCATCATTTTACAAAGTGGGAGACTTTTACTTATTGGAGCTGTCTGGGTTCTGGTGAGATTTATGAAATTTTGCAAACATCCTCATCTGATGGGAATCATTAGAGCCACTGCAGAGAACCTGCATCACTGGCAATTATCCCTATGATTGTATGATCCTCATTAGGCTGATTAAACTAGCTTAGCACCATATCATTTAGGTGGCACCAGGCAATACTTTGCTGAAGAAGATAGGCTAAAACTCTGAGTTGATACGAATTTTAGAAGACTACCCACTGAGAATTCAAATTAAAAAAATGTGCCATTTTTAAGTGACTACTATGGAAACAAACACTGCCTCAGTAAGGCTGGGATGAGCACATTCCAGCAAACCATTAAAGAATTCTACAGGCTGCTGCTTACACTACAGGATGCCTGCAAGCTCTTTGTAATACACTTACACTTGACCTCCTTCTAGGTAGAAACTTGAGGTTTAGGTCAGTACTGAGGACTTTGAAGTCAATCAACAGTCAATGGCTGTGGGAGCAGAACTCAGGATCTTTTAACTCCTGACAAAATTCATCCTTTTCTTTAGCGGTTTCTGAATTGGGAGATGCTTGTACTCTCGCGTTTGCAGAGCTCTGGTTGATTGGGAACAGGCACCCTGATTCAGCAGATGTGCTGAATGTTCCCAATAGTCTTCAAAGCTGTTTTGTGTCTTCAAAAAAATCCTTATAAAAAAAAGTATATTTTTTTTAACCAAACAGGTTAATGTTAGTACAGCAGTATCAGTTATTGGAGAAAAACAGAAGTGTCAAACCCCAAGAAACATGTTTCTGTTTATTCTTCTCTAAGTAGAGGGAGAGAGAAAAAAAAGCTGGTTATGATCCTGCTTCCAGAAATGGGGGGATACTGATTATTTGAAGACAGAATAAACACTGATTCTTTGATGTACCCATTAACTCACTACGCTCTGAAGCCAGATGAATATTTCTTACTTGCTCCATCGCGCCCTTGGCTGCTTGCTGGAACTCAACACAACCTCCGACCAAGACGCACCTGCATAGCTACTCCAATTTTTCCATTAAAATGCTGATTGTACCTAATTGAAAATTTCATTGGCAACAAAAGAAAGGTAGCATTTTAAGATTTAAAGATAATTTAAACAGAAATTAAGGAAAAGTGCTGGCTGCAGTCCTTGCACCCCCCTTCCCCGCTGGCAGCGCGACTCGTTTCGCTCCTCCGCGACCTTCCCCAGCTGAAGTTTTCGCGTGCTGCTCAGTTGCCTCACGCCGGGCGGCCCGCGGCGCTCACCCCGCCCGGGGCACCGGAGCCAGGTGGGGGCCCCGCAAGCGTCGGCGGGGAGGGGGGGCTGCGGCTCCGCCGGGGGCAAGCCCGTCGCCGGGCGGGCAGAGGAGCGGCGGAGGCAGAGCAGCCCCCGCCTCCCGCCCGCTCTCCTCCCCCTTCCCCCGCTCCCGCCTTTTGTGCGCCGAGCCCGGGCGTCAACGGGCGCCGGCGGCCGCGGAGCTGACAGGAGCCCGCGGCTATCGGCCTCGGCAGCGGCGCTGTGGCGAGGGCGGCAGCGCTGAGCCGCGGCCGCTCCCGTCACCAAGGCGCTGCCTGGCACAGAAACACAGACAGAGACGGACTGACAGACACACGCAGCGCGGAGCGGCGCGGGCTCGGAGACCGCCTTTGTAGCTCCTCTCCTCCCTGCACCATGCTCCGCTCCAGGCAGCGCCCGCCCGCTGCTCCCTAAGGGCAGCCAGCCCCACGCCCGGCTAAGCGAGCGACTGGCACCCGGCTCCTTCCCCCGCCCCCAGTTACCTGAGTTAGCTCCGTCCCGGGCACTTCGGCAGCGCCTCCGCCCTCTCCCGCTGTGGCAGCCCTTGTGCAGCGGAGGAGTGAGCCGCCAGCAGCCGGAGGGACTGCAGCCGCCGCCGGGGGAGACGAGCTCAAGCCCCCGCCCCCGGAGCTCTTCATGGCGTCTCACCAGCAGACGAGGATCCAAGCCTACCTGGAGAAGAATAAGATCGGTCCCCTCTTCGAGGTAAGGTGCGCTCTTGCCGGCCGGCTCCTGCGCGGTGGGGGCGGGGGTGTCCCCACGATGGCCGCGGCCCCCCGCGCAGCCCAGGTGAACGCAGGGGCGAGGATGAGTTTGAAGCGCTGCTTCGGCAGTGCCGGCACCCCTCACCCTGTCCTGCCGCCCCGCACCGCGCGTGTGCCCTCCTGTCCCTCCTCCGAGCGCCGGACCTCCCCGCAGCCCTCCCTTCCTGGCTATCCCGAGGATGTGCCCCGCTTCTTCGCCCCACCACGATCCCGCGCGGGCCGTCAAACAGGTGCCCCTCCGCCCTCCCGCCCGCGGCCCGAGTCCCCGGGGCCGCCCCCGGGGCGCTGCCGCCTCGCCCCGGCGGCCGCGGGACAGCGGCCCAGCACCGCCGTCCGGCCGCGGGGAGCCGCGGACCGACCGCGCACCCGCCGTGCGCGGCGAGGGGAGGCGGCGCTTCCAACCCCCGGCGGCTCCTGGGCGGCAGCGCTGGGCGCCGGGCGCCGCACGGCCCGGGGCGAGCTCCGAGGCGCTGCCCCTCCGTGACCGGCCAGCGGTGAGGGACAGGTGGGTGCCTCCCACCGGGAAACACACCCTCTGCACCGAGCGCTCGGAAGGAACTCTGTCCTGCGAAAAGTCCGTGTCGATGGTGTTTTCTGAAATTTTTATCTGCAGCCACACACCGTGTTTTTGCTAGAGATTTAACGTTTTCTTACAGCGATGCACTTGCAGGGATTTGTAGATGCAGAGATGTGCATATTTTACTATTTCAGTACATAAGCTGTGAATACTTAGAATTTGAAAGGGTGCTAGAGCAATCGTGATTATTACCATTTTATCATCCTGTTTCTCATGCAGTTTTAAACATCAAAATGCACATATATTATGCACTGCACTCTGGCAGTATTATCACAAGGCACAAGTCTCCTTTTTTCAGTATTTAACTTGTTCTCAATCAAGCTTACCATGTATGAAATCTCTCTTATTCTAGTGGGGTGGACGCCTCATCTTCAGTGTATATTTTACCACCCTCCATGAGAAAGGTTCAAATTTTGTTAGAAAATTGTTTGCTAATGGTCTGTTTTTATATTTTTTGTGTGCATAGGCTGTTGGAATAGACTGTGCTGGTTCAGTGCTAGCGGTATTAGATGTTTTTATTTTGCAATAAATAAAGCCACATTTGATGGAACAGTAACTGGGTACTAGGGAATAGCAGGTAATTTTTCTAGTTAAGGAATTGAATAAAAATGGAAACACTTGTGTGGTTCAATTCCTGAATAAAATTCTGTTCAATGAGCTGTGTTGCTAGGTCTAAGTACGTAACTGACTCTTGTTTATTTCAATGGGGATTCAGTGCTTTCGGGTTGTTCAAGGGTTAGGCCCTTGACAGCTCTCATTTTCTTCTAAATTTCTTTAACCCATAGGTTTACACATTAAAATTCAAGCGAACCACTTGGCATCTCTGTTCTGAGTCACTGTGTTTTAACCTAGTTTCTCTGTAGTACAAGATGCTTGTCTCTGTTTGGATTCTTGTAGGATGTTTCAGTTATCAATAGTGGAGAGAAAGACTAAGAAGTTGTATTTGTTTCAGCATTTCACGTATCACCACATACTTCACTAATCTTTGTAATATAGGAATTTCATTCAGAATCTGTGAACGGCTCTTTGCATAACTGTGCAGGCTGTCTACAGGTTCATGGTGCACTCATGTATACCGGGAAGACTTGTGGTGTGAAATCTACTTACACCTGAATACTAGTGACTGGTTTTAAGATCTAGGGGTATAACATTCCTGCAGCTGTTTACAGTTATTTTAATCCATTACACTGGGAAGAAGAAGATCATAATTCCTATCTCCTCTACTTCCTGACTGGCCATTTAAAATCTACCTGCATATTTAATTTTTTGATGTACTTTTTGTTCTCAACAGTTTATTGAAGATCTGCAGCCTGTTCTTGATCTTGTAGTCCTTAAAAAAAAGAAAGGTATTTGAAGTTGATGGGAATTGATCAAAGACTATGCACAGATGAATCTTGTACTCTACACTAGTATTACTATTAGATGTGCTTTGTGGTGTTTCAAGAATTCCATGTGTTCACAGGCAGATATAGTCACTAACACATCAGTTTTTCAGGTGTCTAAAAGTTCTGACACATTTCAAAATGATACCTGTGCTTGGTCTTTCATCCAGGAACAGCTAGCATTTTCTTCTACTGCTTCTGGTTTGGATGCTAATTAACTGTCACTTGTCATGAATGACAGCCATCCTTTTTTCTCTTTTTCAGTGAGTATTCATTTTCTAATAGCAACTCAGAACAGAGTGGACTTGGATTCAGTTTTCTCCCGTGTTATCTGCTGAGCAGGTTGTGACTGTAATTGCTCAATATATGATTCAAGTCAACATTTTAGGGACTGCATGAAATAAAAGTGGCTAGCTGAGGGCAGTCACAGGAAAGAAGGGCAGGGAGAGAGGACCTGTGAGCTTTCTGAGATGAGGGCACGGATAGTGATGCATAAAGAGATTGTATTTCATACTTGCGTAATGAATAATCACTGATCAGAGGGACTTTACACCATTGATTTTAGACAATTACAAAGGCACAGAATGCTAAGGGGTGGAACAGTTGGTGCTGTACTGAAGGTGAAGTACAATTCCACTGCATTACAGTTAAGAGCAGTAATTGCTCTTGCTAGTAGGTCATTGTGTTCCAGTATCCTGGTTGTGTCTCTTTTCTCCATGCTGTCCTGTACCTTCTGTTACAGTGGTTAGGGGTTTTTGTACTTCATTAACCAGCAGTACCTATTTAAGAACATCTTTGCTGAAGTTTTGTGTGGTTTGACGCTTGAATTATATTCCTAATTTGTGTGAAAGAGAAGTGTTCGAGAGAAGTGCTGACACATCAGATGCAGGAAGACCTTAGCCTCTGCCTTGGTTAGAAAGTTGTTTCCTCCTCTGTAAAGAAATGTGAGGAGTAACCTCCTGGAGAAGGAATTAATGAGCTTAAGCTGACTCAGCAGGCATTGGTCTTCTACTGACTACCAGTATCTGTTAACACATAGTAGGAAACCCTATCCACTCAGCTATGAATGTTTACTCAGCCCAGATTCACTTGATTCCAAACATTTTTACAAGGTAGATTCTTATTATGGGTTAGAGGTGGGAAGGAAGGTGGGCGGGAATTACTGTGTACATCTGAGACTGTGTCAATTTTGAGATTTGTGACAGGTTGCAAAACAACTTCGATGCTGCAGCCTCCTTTTCCCTTTTGAATGTAGGTCCCCAAGTCATGACTTTTCAGAGCTGTTACTTCTATACCATCTCATATTTCAGGTGTCCAAGATTTTTGCAGGTAAGATTGCTGTGAACCTATAATGCAGCTTCTGAATGCCCCTTTTTAGCGCTGACAGTGTAAGGTCTTAAGTTGACCCCTTATATTCTGTCAGGCTTCATGAGCATCTTTATCCTGTTTTGTGTAGTTTTTGTGTGTTGTGGGTTTCTTTTCTTTTTTCTTTTGGTTTTGAAAGCTTAGACATCTTTCTGTTAGAGATGGTTGGCATCTGAGAATACTTGAGGAATGCCCTTTAGAAATGCCTCTTTTCTGGGAGTTTTGTGGTAACACATACCATGGCACTACCTGATTTTTTTTAGATTCTTTTTTTTTTCACATTGACTTGGAATGTAACAAGAATTCTAAATATGAATTATTTCTGTGATGAAGCTTCACTGTTGTTTTTTTTATTCCATCTTTCTAAAATGTGAACAGGAGGTATGTGCCTAAAATTGGCTAGGACAGAGTATTCAGAATCAGCACCCACTCATTTCTGTCTGAGTGAAGTATTGACCTACTTTGCATTTCAAGCATCCAATCCAACAAGTTCTTTTTGTGTGCTAATAATCTCAATGAATAATCCTGCTGCCTGTATCCATACATCTATTCTTCTGTACAAGTGTATCTCTTTAGCATCCAGTTGTGCTCTCATTTGGGCAACCTGACACTTAGTTTTTGTGAATTTGAAATCTGGATAAGCACTCTTGAGAACAGATTGCAATAAATCTTCAAGAGCTCTGAGATAAATTTAGTATTTTGGAATTTTTTATTTCCAGAACTGCAGCTAAAAAGCATCCAGCAGGTACATTGTTGTTATGCAAACCCGAGAACTGTAATTTCTTTGAGTTATAAAAAGCCAAAATAGCTCTTCAAAGTAAACATGCCAAACTCCTGTTACCTAAGATTTTTTTCTCCAAGTAATGTGGGGTTAGAACTGTAATTTTTATTTCAAACAACATAAAGGCTTTGTAATACGACCCTTAGCTTTTTTTTCTTTCTTTAGGAGACATAATTACTAAAGCAAACACAATGGGAAGCTTTTTTCTTTTTTTTTTTTTTTTTAATCTATGATGGTTTTTCTTTTCCTAAATGAAATAGCATTCTTGGTGTATATTATGCAGTGGTGTCAATTATTTAAATAAAATAACTACACTTAACTACACTTTTCACTTAAACCTTAGCCTACTTGGTGATGAACACTATCTATAGTGCATCTTATGACTGACTTAGTCAAAGTTTGGTGATGAATTTTAGAGTTTTGGACTGAAGCAATGTTCACCCTTGGTTTTTAAATACAGAAAGGTAGATACTGTCAACTTGAATGTCTAATTAACCAGTTCACAATTTCTCACAGTATAAAATTATGTTTCAAGCTGCAATATCTGCAATTTGAATGATAGGGGTTGCAATTTGAATGATAGGGGTGAGCTTAAAGAATTGTTTTCTTTTGAGGTTGCTCAAAACCTCAAAATTTTGAGTATTTTGGTATTATACTTAATGGGTTAGATTCTGTTGCTAGTGTGAAAGGGTCTGGATTATGGATTACAAAAATGTATTTAGTGAAGCATTTGATTTCAAGCAGCTAGATGGAGCCTTTGAAAGGCTGAGTTTTTCAGTACTTAGACATCACAAGGATTATTTTAGGCACTAACTGATTAGCCAGTGACATTGTTT